TCCTTTACATGCCGGGAGTAACAATCGAAGGCTGGACAGGCAGAATTGGCCCTGCGCAGTGTCACAGGTGTCAAGGGTTCGGACACGCATCCTACAACTGCTACCGACCCTTCAAATGTGTACGCTGTGCAGGTGACCACCTGGCCTCAGCATGCCCACAACCGCGGGATGCGCAACCTAAATGCGCAAACTGCGGGAAAGATCACTCGGCGAATGACAGGCGGTGCCCAGTGTTGCAGCGAATTGCAAGGAAGAGGGGGATTAATATGCAACCCCCTATCCCCGCGCAAACAACACGAGCACCGCAACGTCAACCACCCCCACTACAAAGCCAACCACCTGCACCGCATTGGCAACCTCCACCACCTCAAAAACCTCAGTACTACCCACCCCAACAGCAGCAATATTCACAGCAGCAACACCTGCAAAGGCAGGAACCGCAACCGCAACAGCGGCAGGTAACAATCACACCTGCACCAACCACATTTGTTACGACCGGGGCGACTTTAGCACCACCGGCGAATAACGCCACGGAGCGCACAGAGCGCCCAAAGAAAAAGAGAGGAAAGAAGAAGAAGAAGAAGAAGGCAACCACCCAACCAGCTCAAGTGGGTGGTACTTCGACTCCTCTTCCTCCACTCGTCACTACCACACAACAACAGCAATCACTGCCACAACCGCGGTATACATTCCCTCCATCAAATCAGAACGAGCAATCTGCACTCCAACCCCGAGATCAACGCCCACCCAAAAAGACAATAACTGTCGCTCCCCCATTACAGCCCCAGGCACCAACCACCATCGAGGAGGCCCTCGCTCAACTGGTGGGCGTGGTAATCAGGATCTTAGGAGAGGTCCTGACTGCCATGACCACCGGCACCAACCCCCTTTCGGCCATCCTAACGGCCTTAGCCCAGTTAACCTCCGTCAGCAGGCCATCCACTTAGGATGTGTTATTGGAACCCCGGCGGCATCTTAGGGAAGGTCGCCGACCTGAGAACCCTGGTCCAGCAGCACAATATCCAAATTGTGCTACTGGGGGAGACCAAACTGCGCCCCTCTGCTCAATTAAAACTCCCCAACTTCTTTGTGTACCGACATGACGAGATCTCCTCAGAAGGTATCGCGTACAGAGGTACTGCGGTCCTTGTGAGGAGGGACGTCATGCACGAAGAAGTTGGCACCAATACACAGTTTATATCCACCAGAACCAAGGGTGTAAGGCTGAGGGTAGGCACCAGAGAAATTAGAATCTTTGCTGCCTACAGACCTCCCGGCACCTCACTTGCCCCCCAAGACATACGTACCATATTTGACTCCACGACACCTGCAATTATCGCCGGAGACCTCAACGCGAAACATCCCGCTTGGGGCTCCGCGCTGATCACACCACCCGGCAGGAAACTGTTCAACGACGCCGAGGAGTGGGGGTACGAGGTGCTGGGCCCTGATGAGCCCACCCATATCCCGACAAAGCCAGAACATAAGCCCGATGTTCTTGACATTGTGCTGTGTCATCTAGTGCCGTATACAACACGGTTAGAAGTGTTGTATGACATAGATACACAACACCTCCCCGTGCTGATTACTATCGACACCAGTGCGGATGCCATGGTGCCCAGAAGTCTCCGAATGAAGACAAATTGGACCCGCTTTCGTAGTGCGCTGGAGGACTTCCAACCTTGCGCCCCAATTACCACCAGTGAAGATGTGGAGACTGCGGCCCTACATCTTCACAACACTATAAAAGATAAACTCCAACTCCACTCTCACCCTGTCTCCACGGGGCACGGGAAGGAGGGACTCCCACGCACTCTCCAAACGCTCCTGTCCGAGAAGCGGAAGATGAGGAGACTCTGGGCACGGACACGATGCCCACGGATAAAAACTAAACTAAACGCTATGACGGAAGAGCTGTCGGAAGCAATGAGAGCTTACAGGGGAGAAGCATGGGAGAGGCGAGTCGACGAAGCCTCGGAGACACCCGCCTCCCTGCATCTCCTCAACCGGCAGCTCACCAAGACACCACCACCTGTCTGCCCACTGGTGGACAGCACGGGGAGCAGAATCTACGACGCCCAAAAGAGAGCGGAATTGATGGCACAGCACCTTGAACAGCAATTCATACCCAACAGTGTAGCAGAGGGGTACGCAGACCACGTACAAGGCATAGAGGACCGCGTACGGGAATACCTCTCTAACCCGGCGCCGCCATTGCGAGGCGGCGATTTCATATCTCCAGCAGAGGTAAGGCGCACTATTATGCGCCTACCTAGCCGTAAAGCGCCGGGTTACGACGGCATCACCACCACAGCCATAAAGCAGCTGCCCAGAAGGGTAATAGTGGCACTCACCAGTCTGTACAATGGCATCTTACGGACTGGCCACTTCCCGACCATCTGGAAGCAGGGCAGAATCATCGTGCTGCCGAAGCCGGGAAAAGACAGGAGGTTCCCGGCCAGCTACCGCCCCATAACGCTATTGCCGCACATAGCAAAACTTTTTGAAAAAATCACCCTGAACAGGGTTCTCCCACATGTTACCCTGCGTGAGGAGCAATTTGGCTTCCGCAGGGGACATTCCACAACCTCTCAGCTGGCCCGCGTGCTGCACTATCTTGCGGCCGAATATAACTTCGGCCGCATCTGTGTGGGGGTCCTTCTCGACATGGAGAAGGCCTTCGACAGGGTGTGGCACGCAGGGCTAGTTTATAAACTCATTCAGCACACCACTTTACCGCCCATGCTTGTGCGGTTAATAGCGTCATTCCTGGAGGGGCGGAGCTTCCATGTCTCCTTGGAAGGGGCTGTTTCGGCGGCACGACCGATTTCTGCGGGAGTGCCACAGGGCAGCTGCCTATCACCGCACCTGTACGCGGTCTACACCAACGACATCCCCACCCTCCAAGGCCATCTGGAGGAATGGGAGGATAACGTTGTCCTAGCCTTGTACGCCGACGACAGTGCGTACTTCGCGTCATCACGTCGGGTGGACATAGCTGCTAAGAAATTGCAGCGGGTACTCGACCTCTTGCCTGAGTGGCTGGACAAATGGAGGCTGGCGGTCAATGTCGGGAAGACCGTCGCCTTCATGACCAGGCTGGCCAGAACACCACCAACTCTGCAACTCCGCGGGCAGGATGTGGGTTGGAGTAGTACCATTACGTACCTAGGATGCCAGATAGATCGCTCGCTGCGCATGACCCCGATGGTCAATCACGTTGTGAGACAGGCCAGAGCGGCGCGAGCGAAACTATACCCTATACTGGCATCCAAACTCCCAACAAGAACGAAAATAGGTATCTACAAAACCTACATCCGCTCGCGGCTGACCTACGCAGCACCAGCCTGGTACGCGTTGACCTCGGCCACTCAGCGCAAGAGGTTGCAGGCCGAGCAAAATCTTGCGCTCCGGGTGATCGTGGGAGCCGGTCGCTACGTCAGGAATGACATCATTTCTCGCGACCTCAAGGTCGAAACCATCCATGATTTTGTGGTCCGTTCTGCGAGACGGTTGTTCGACCGCGCAGACAACGGGCCACACCTTCACCTTCAAAATCTTGCTCCCCTCCACGCCCGCCCACCTGACGGGCGACCACTCCCACGTGAACTTCTACGCTCACTGCCCGGCACAGGGGACGCCGGGGGTGAGTGAGCGTCCCGACACTCGACGTGATGGCGCGAGGTGCGCAATACACCTACATATAAGCTGCCAACGCAGCACCCAAGACCGGGGGGTCGTGTCCTCCTGAGATGCCGCCCATGTAAAGAGGGTCTCCTCGACACATGAAAACCTCCACAAGGAGATGAACCACCACTGTCGCCACCTCCTCAGTTCGTCGCGGGCCGTGCTACAGTGCGGACGTGTCTAGTGCGCTCCTGTGTTGTGTACGTGTTGTGCTAGTGATTGACTCCGCCGACGTCGAGTTCGCTCCGTTTGGCGTCGAGGCGTCGCTGGCGCATTTCCTGCGTCGGACTGTTAATAAGGTAAGCGTAAAGGTCACTACTTACGCTGTGCCCTACTTTACGTTTTACCTTTTTGTACACTGTACCCTCTTTTTATAACAAAAAGTGATTGCAAGTGTTCCGCATTTGAGTGAGATTACGCCCATCCCATCTGCGCCTCACACACCCCTCCCTGCTCGCGGGCGCCTCGCTGGGCCTCCCTCACGGGTCTCACCCGGTGTGGTTGCACGCGCTGAGGGGAGTAAGGTGTGTGATAGCTAAGGGCTGAGCATAATTAATTAGTAATGTCGGACAAGGGGGAACCTCCCCCAACACGCCGTAAACCACCTGATAGGCGTCCGGGAGTACTCGACAGGCCCCTCATGGAGCGAGACCTCTTCGCTCCTGAGAGATCTAGAGTGCTCCCACCTTACAGCCAACTCCCGAGGCGAATAGGCAGTATACCGGCGCCCGGCGCCGCGCTCGGCGCAGGTGAAGCTGTGTCTTCACCGAGCGCAGAACTGGCTCCATTACCACGCCGGAGCCTAGCCTCGCGGAGACGTACACCTCCTGAGATAGAACAAGACCAGCTGCAAGAGGAGAAAAGGCTGAGAGCCGGATCAGACTCACTATCTGATTCGGCATCGCCTTCTGCCTCTGCCACACCACCTGAGATACAAGCCCCACAACCTGTGGTAAGACATAACAGACCGCCTAACTCACCGTCTCCAACCACCTCTCCGGCCTGCACCGCTGACATGCAGGATTTCGGCGAGGAAGACCCGGAAGGAGAGAGAGAGTGGGACAATACGTCCTACGCCACTCTAGCCCCAATTCAAGACTCCCAACCTGAAAAACCTGGAAACCACATGAAAACCTCCACAAGGAGATGAACCACCACTGTCGCCACCTGTGTATTATCCTACGTAATATCAATTTGTGTACGATATATAACAACAATTTACAATTTTCCTTTGTTATTATCATCTATCGCGAGTTGTGTGAGTCAGTGTTTGTAGTTCGTTTGTGATCTAATACTACTACTACTACGAAGTAATGGCAGATACAGCAGTAGCTTCCGAAACTCCCGCTCCGGCGACTCCGGCGAAAAAACCGAAGGCCGCCGCTACTGCAGCAGGTGGTGCAAAGAAGCCCAAGGCGAAACCCACTCATCCGAAGACTTCCGAAATGGTCACCAGCGCAATTAAAGAGCTGAAAGAGCGCAGTGGATCATCTTTGCAAGCGATAAAAAAATATATTGCCGCTCAATATAAAGTCGACGCTGAAAAACTAGCTCCGTTCATCAGAAAGTTCGACTGCGCTTATACAGACAAAGGGCAAGGGGGCTTCCGGTTCCTTTAAGCTTGAATCAAAATCGTCCGCCTCTAAGAAACCGTCGACGGGTAAGAGCAGCGGTGGCGCAAAGAGCGGCGCGTCCGCCGCTAGCTCGGTGTCGGCGAAGGTGAAGAAGAGCACCGCCGCGGGTAAGGGTAAAAAGGCAGCATCGGCAGCGACCGCATCATCACCGTCTAAGGCAAAACCGTCTGCAGCTACCAAGGACAAGAAGGCGGCCGCCGCGAAAAAGAAGCCGGCAGCCGCAAGAAAATCCGCAACCGCTGGCCAAAGCGGCGTTTCTAAGGCGAAAGGCGCCGCTTCGAAGGCGAAAAAGAGCGCCAAACCACCGACAAAGAAACCTAAGGCTCCAAAACCGAAGAAGGCGGCAACACCCAAATCGAAGCCTTCCGCGGCGGCATCGAAGAAGGCAGCCGCTTCTAAAAAGTAAGGTCCGCTGTCACCGCCTTCCGTCGTCATAACCACCGCCGCCGTACCTACCTACGTACGTACTCGTACGCGTAATTGTCACGCGCGTATGTGATTGTGTAGTGCATGCAGGCTGATGCTGCTGAGAGACAGGTAGGTAGGTAGGTAGGTAGGTAGGTAGGTAGGTAGGTAGGAAGGAAGGCAAGCAGGCAGGCAGAGTGACAGCAAGACGGGACGGACGGGACGGGAGAAGGATCCTCGCGGGTGAACGCGAGTGCCTCGTAGCGCCGCGGCATCGGGCCTATTTATTTTTATTTTATTCTTAAAAGTAATACCTATAAAATAAATGGTGTACGCGTGTCGCGTCGTATACGAATATGCGCGAGCGACCGCAATGCTAAAAAGCCCTTTTCAGGGCTAACAAAAATTTCCTATGAGTTTCTTATACGTCACGCGTCAATCATAATGATTGCCTTATTATATATATTACCTACCTATCATTCCACCTGTGGCTCCGCTCTCGAGCGGGTGTACCAGGTAGTCCGCGTGCGCTCCGTTAGCGCCCCCCCAGTTTCGCGCCCCGCGCGCCTCTCAGTGTTGGCGCTATAAGCGCTGAAGTCGGGTGAGTGTCTCATCGCTAACTCTCAGCTCTTACCCCCCCGCCTTCAGGTCGGGGAGGTCTGACTGAACGCTTTTTTATATTGTAGTACACTAGTACTGTATATGTTAGTAGTTTATTATAATTATATGTGTAGTATATATAACGTGTATATTGTCATATTGTTTCTTGACTTAGCCCCCGTCCTTTTGAGGACGAGGGAGAGTTTCAGAATAAGAACGTCCCGCACTTTCAGTGCGGTGATCCCCCACGCCCTACTAGTAGTTTTAAATAGTTTATTTTTATTTTTTTTATTTTTTAGTTAATTAATTAATCAACATGTCCACGAAGGACTTAAAATCATCACTTTGGGACGCCATCACTAAGGTGGAAGATTCGCAGGCGCTTTCCGCCGCCCTAGCCCTTCTGGCTGGTACCGCCCGTAAGGCAACCATCCCGCCGCCGGTGTTAGCGGACTACTTAGAGTCCCAGAACTCGTTCGCCGCGCTTGAAATTGATATGGAGTGCTCTCACTCCGAGTCCGACGCCGCGTCGTCAGTATCCGCCTCTCGGAAGAGGCCCGCGAGAAAATCCGGCACCAGGTCATCGGAGTCAGACTCGGATGACACCGGTGCATCACTAGAATCCTATATCACGGTATCGTCAAAGCGCGCGGCGAAGCGCGCCGCTAAAAACCGTTCGCCAACCGCCGCAGCGGCCCGTGCCGCTCCCGCCTCCCCCGCAGCCTCCGTCGCTGCCTCAGTCCCTGCAGCCCGAGCTGCCGCGTTAGATAGCTCAGCGCCAACAAAACCGGTTACGCGTTGTGCGCCGCAATTAGCTAAGAAACAAGCCCCGCCCCCTGTCTTCTTAAGAGATAAGGCTGAATTTACCCGGCTCAGTAAGATATGTTACGACTCGAAAATTAAGTACGAGGATGCTACCAACTTAGGCGTAGCAATCAAAATATTGCCAACCACGATCGACGATTTCCGCCGTATCACGAAACTTTTTACGTACGAACGCGTATCGTACCACACATACGCTCTCCCGGAAGAGCGTAAAGTTAGGGTCGTCATCCGAGGCGTCCCGTTTGAACTCTCCAACGAGGAGATACTTGCGGACCTTAAGTCACAAGGTTTCCCCGTTGAAGCGGTTCACAAAATGCATAGTAGGACCGGGCTGAGATACCCGGTAATATTAGTAATCTTAAGTAACGTCCCGGAGGCTAAAACCATCTTCCGGCAAGTACGCACTGTGTGCGGCTTGTCTGGAGTCAAGGTTGAGTCACCGCGTAGGCGCGGTTTCCCGGCGCAGTGCCACCGCTGCCAATTGTATGGTCACGCGGCGGCCAATTGCTCCGCCCCACCCAGGTGCGTTAAGTGCCTAGATCCGCACATCACCAAAGCGTGTCCCAAAGATGCCGTATCCCCGCCCGCGTGCGTCCTGTGTCAACAGACAGGCCACCCGGCGAGCTACAGAGGATGCCCGTGCGCTCCTCGTCCGCGTATAGCAAGACAGGCACCACCACCGGTAAATGACCGTTCATTCCCGGCCTTATATGTTAGGAAGCCCCGTCAGGGCGTATCTCAGCCGTCTCAGGGCTTTGCACGACCCCCTCAGGGTCCCCCGAGACCACCGCAGGCACCGCTTAGGCCACCGCAGGCACCGCTTAGGCCACCACCGGGCTTCTCAAAGCCTATGCAGGCTCCAGTTTTTGCCTGGGGCCCCAAAAAGGTAGATCCACCGCCACAGGTATTTTCTACTCCGCAGCAGAAACAGTCGACAATAGGCGATGACTTTAACACGGTTTACGCCGCGATAAGGAACATCGACATTAACGAAATCTCGGTTTTAGCGAGTAAACTGCGCGCCGCCCGGTCCCCTCAGGACCGGCTTTTGGCTCTCGCAGAACACAGTAATTTATTGCGTTCGTTGTAAGCTAAGTTAACTTAATTAACTTAGCTTATAATGACAGAGCCTTCTGCTCTGCCTAGAAGTCACGGTCGTATCAAGCCCAAAGGGCTATCGCTTATTTCATTTAATATTCGCGGATTGCGTAATAATCTCCCAGAGCTTAAGCTCTTCCTTAAAGATCTCAGTGTTGGCGCTATAAGCGCTGAAGTCGGGTGAGTGTCTCATCGCTAACTCTCAGCTCTTACCCCCCCGCCTTCAGGTCGGGGAGGTCTGACTGAACGCTTTTTTATATTGTAGTACACTAGTACTGTATATGTTAGTAGTTTATTATAATTATATGTGTAGTATATATAACGTGTATATTGTCATATTGTTTCTTGACTTAGCCCCCGTCCTTTTGAGGACGAGGGAGAGTTTCAGAATAAGAACGTCCCGCACTTTCAGTGCGGTGATCCCCCACGCCCTACTAGTAGTTTTAAATAGTTTATTTTTATTTTTTTTATTTTTTAGTTAATTAATTAATCAACATGTCCACGAAGGACTTAAAATCATCACTTTGGGACGCCATCACTAAGGTGGAAGATTCGCAGGCGCTTTCCGCCGCCCTAGCCCTTCTGGCTGGTACCGCCCGTAAGGCAACCATCCCGCCGCCGGTGTTAGCGGACTACTTAGAGTCCCAGAACTCGTTCGCCGCGCTTGAAATTGATATGGAGTGCTCTCACTCCGAGTCCGACGCCGCGTCGTCAGTATCCGCCTCTCGGAAGAGGCCCGCGAGAAAATCCGGCACCAGGTCATCGGAGTCAGACTCGGATGACACCGGTGCATCACTAGAATCCTATATCACGGTATCGTCAAAGCGCGCGGCGAAGCGCGCCGCTAAAAACCGTTCGCCAACCGCCGCAGCGGCCCGTGCCGCTCCCGCCTCCCCCGCAGCCTCCGTCGCTGCCTCAGTCCCTGCAGCCCGAGCTGCCGCGTTAGATAGCTCAGCGCCAACAAAACCGGCCACGCGTTGTGCGCCGCAATTAGCTAAGAAACAAGCCCCGCCCCCTGTCTTCTTAAGAGATAAGGCTGAATTTACCCGGCTCAGTAAGATATGTTACGACTCGAAAATTAAGTACGAGGATGCTACCAACTTAGGCGTAGCAATCAAAATATTGCCAACCACGATCGACGATTTCCGCCGTATCACGAAACTTTTTACGTACGAACGCGTATCGTACCACACATACGCTCTCCCGGAAGAGCGTAAAGTTAGGGTCGTCATCCGAGGCGTCCCGTTTGAACTCTCCAACGAGGAGATACTTGCGGACCTTAAGTCACAAGGTTTCCCCGTTGAAGCGGTTCACAAAATGCATAGTAGGACCGGGCTGAGATACCCGGTAATATTAGTAATCTTAAGTAACGTCCCGGAGGCTAAAACCATCTTCCGGCAAGTACGCACTGTGTGCGGCTTGTCTGGAGTCAAGGTTGAGTCACCGCGTAGGCGCGGTTTCCCGGCGCAGTGCCACCGCTGCCAATTGTATGGTCACGCGGCGGCCAATTGCTCCGCCCCACCCAGGTGCGTTAAGTGCCTAGATCCGCACATCACCAAAGCGTGTCCCAAAGATGCCGTATCCCCGCCCGCGTGCGTCCTGTGTCAACAGACAGGCCACCCGGCGAGCTACAGAGGATGCCCGTGCGCTCCTCGTCCGCGTATAGCAAGACAGGCACCACCGCCGGTAAATGACCGTTCATTCCCGGCCTTATATGTTAGGAAGCCCCGTCAGGGCGTATCTCAGCCGTCTCAGGGCTTTGCACGACCCCCTCAGGGTCCCCCGAGACCACCGCAGGCACCGCTTAGGCCACCGCAGGCACCGCTTAGGCCACCACCGGGCTTCTCAAAGCCTATGCAGGCTCCAGTTTTTGCCTGGGGCCCCAAAAAGGTAGATCCACCGCCACAGGTATTTTCTGCTCCGCAGCAGAAACAGTCGACAATAGGCGATGACTTTAACACGGTTTACGCCGCGATAAGGAACATCGACATTAACGAAATCTCGGTTTTAGCGAGTAAACTGCGCGCCGCCCGGTCCCCTCAGGACCGGCTTTTGGCTCTCGCAGAACACAGTAATTTATTGCGTTCGTTGTAAGCTAAGTTAACTTAATTAACTTAGCTTATAATGACAGAGCCTTCTGCTCTGCCTAGAAGTCACGGTCGTATCAAGCCCAAAGGGCTATCGCTTATTTCATTTAATATTCGCGGATTGCGTAATAATCTCCCAGAGCTTAAGCTCTTCCTTAAAGATCGCGAAGCTGATTTTCTCCTCTTACAGGAAACCAATCTTAAACACACAGACAATAAAGGCTTATCCATTAAAAATTATTCTCTTCTTCGTAATGATAGGCACGACCGCCGAGGCGGCGGCACGGCCATTTATTACAAGAAGACACTACATTGCTCTCTTATTGATACTCCGCAGCTTACCAATATGGAAGCTACGTTATGCAGGATATCTATGACGGGACATCAGTCT